TGTTACGCCTGTATCAGACGAGCCATATATAGCCAAGCAATTGCCCAATGTTTTAGTTAAATTTCATGACAGAACTCTCGTCGGCTTGGTAGGCACAAGTGCAGTTCGCACATTGCTGTCCAGTAAACATTGTAATGATATAGTCAAAACTGCCACCCCCCACCTAAACATCCAAACGGCCAATGGGTCTCGCATGAAAGTGGCTGGCGAGCTGTTAGTATTGTGGGATGATCGTATGTGCCATCCGTATTTAGTAGTTTGTGGATTGTCATGGGATTTGATAATAGGTTATGACCTCCCACGCTTCAATTGATATTGAATCCCAAACGATCACCCTACTAGGTTCTACATTACTGTTTGGATCAGACATTGGTAATACCTATTTACAGTTGAGTGTGAATGCAGTTGATGCTGCCCTCATGGAAAGTATGTTAACACAGGTTCCGAGAGAACACAAAGATTCGGTACATCGGTTAATTTCAGAGGTCGTATCGTGGTCCCCGGGTGAACTGGGGAGAACCACAGCTATCCAACACACTATTGAAACTGGTAGTTGTGCTCCAATACGGTAAACACCTCGTCGAGTCCTAGCCAAGTTCCGCCCGCAGCTGGAAAGCATGGTTGATGAAATGCTGCAGAAAAAGATAATTGCGCCATCAAACTTACCGTGGGCTTCGCCTATCGTATTAGTTAAGGAGAAAAACGGCTTCCTGCGCTTGTGCGTTGATTACCGAAAACTAAACGCAGTGACTCGGAAAGATGCTTACCTATTGCATAGAATAGACGAGGCGTTAGAGGCATTATCAGGCGCCGTGTGGCTTTCTACTCTCGTGATCGGCACAAAACTGCTTTTACTATACCCACCGGTTTGTATGAATTACAGACCATGCCTTTCGGGTTAAGTAATGCACCAGCAACGTTTCAACGACTGATGCACACGGTACTTAAAGGATTAGTCCGACGAGTGTGCCTCGGATATTTAGACGATATTGTGTTCAGTCACACCATCCGCAGTCTGTCGACGTGTTCTTCGATGGTGTGACTGAACACAATATCGTCTAAATATCCGAGGCACACTCGTCGGACTAATCCTTTAAGTACCGTGTGCATCAGTCGTTGAAACGTTGCTGGTGCATTACTTAACCCGAAAGGCATGGTCTGTAATTCATACAAACCGGTGGGTATAGTAAAAGCAGTTTTGTGCCGATCACGAGAGTAGAAAGCCACACGGCGCCTGATAATGCCTCTAACGCCTCGTCTATTCTATGCAATAGGTAAGCATCTTTCCGAGTCACTGCGTTTAGTTTTCGGTAATCAACGCACAAGCGCAGGAAGCCGTTTTTCTCCTTAACTAATACGATAGGCGAAGCCCACGGTAAGTTTGATGGCGCAATTATCTTTTTCTGCAGCATTTCATCAACCATGCTTTCCAGCTGCGGGCGGAACTTGGCTAGGACTCGACGAGGTGTTTACCGTATTGGAGCACAACTACCAGTTTCAATAGTGTGTTGGATAGCTGTGGTTCTCCCCAGTTCACCCGGGGACCACGATACGACCTCTGAAATTAACCGATGTACCGAATCTTTGTGTTCTCTCGGAACCTGTGTTAACATACTTTCCATGAGGGCAGCATCAACTGCATTCACACTCAACTGTAAATAGGTATTACCAATGTCTGATCCAAACAGTAATGTAGAACCTAGTAGGGTGATCGTTTGGGATTCAATATCAATTGAAGCGTGGGAGGTCATAACCTATTATCAAATCCCATGACAATCCACAAACTACTAAATACGGATGGCACATACGATCATCCCACAATACTAACAGCTCGCCAGCCACTTTCATGCGAGACCCATTGGCCGTTTGGATGTTTAGGTGGGGGGTGGCAGTTTTGACTATATCATTACAATGTTTACTGGACAGCAATGTGCGAACTGCACTTGTGCCTACCAAGCCGACGAGAGTTCTGTCATGAAATTTAACTAAAACATTGGGCAATTGCTTGGCTATATATGGCTCGTCTGATACAGGCGTAACATTGGGTAAAAAAGGCAGACTCACCAATTTCTTCTGGGAAGCGAGAGTTCATCCAGCCCGTCCTTGGACATGGTTGGTTTGGAGTTTGTCTTGCTTCGGGGAAACTGTCGGGACCTCCACTCAATAGGTTGTTTCGCAAGATGCGCACAAGGTGTCGTCGATTCTTGATATTGTGACGGAGTATGGGGCCCTTCTGTTGATCGCCGGTTCTTATGAAGCTTAATTAGAGCCTCCTTCTGTTGTTTGCCAAGCTGCAGGGTCTCCACGGACGATGTAGGGTTACTTTCGATGACCCTTTCTCTTACTTCGTCGTGCATTAACCCTTCTTCGAACTGATGGAGAATACGGGAGCTAATCTCTGTTGCTGGGTCTCCTTCAAAAGCCACGGGAGCCAACTCCTGAAGGCGCCAGAGGAATTCCCCTGTACTCTCACCGCTTTGTTGGACACATGCGTGGAAGGCAGCCCGCTGACCGAGAACATGGGTATGCGGCGCAAATGCTCGACGCATAGCTGTAAATAGCTCCTCAACTCCCATTGTCTGGTCGGTGTCAACGCCAGCTAGTTTGAGGCGTTTCAATGCAGGTATCGACAATAAACATATAGTAGCACTAGCTCTTCTTCTTCTTCATCAAACTGTTGTATATAGCGGCGACACTGTTCCTCCCACAATGTGAATGATTCTCCCGGAACAAACTTTCCCGGTGCTGCAAGGAATCTAACTTTAGGTTTGTTACTGGAGGACGATGCAAGTGTATCGGATGTCCTCAACGCTATTCTGAACGCTGCAACCATTGCTTGAATCATATCATATCTGGAGCAGGCGTGGACGTTGTTGGTGGGGTTGATGTCATCACCGGTGGCGCTCTGTTACAATCTTCCTGATCACACGGGTGTTAGCATTGTCAGGAGATTCAAGGTTCTTCACTTCTCGCTTTAGTTTACGCGAGTTGGGCAGGCTCGCTATGTTCTATAATAGAACAACACAGTCAATAATAGAGATTAAACACGCAGGGTAAGGCGAGGAAGCAGAACACGACTTGAGGTGAAGCACTTTATAATTATCAACTGAACTGATATCCGGAGAAGTCCAAAAAATTACACATATGCACAAAGAGCTAGGCTATGACAGTCCAGCGACCACCGGGTTTTGAACTGACGTCTTCTTTGGAATGTGAACCATAGAATGATATCGAGATTTCATCGGCATAACTGATGCTTATATGTGAGCGAAAGTTATTATCATGGATGAGGACAAGTTATTTAGAAGGTAAGGAGTAAAAGATTTTTAGTTTATTCGTATATATACTATTTCGCAGCTGGTTGGATTGAGTTCTTGGTGCAACTGGATGTAAGTGCATTTATTATTATTATTATTGCTTCCTTGGTTTTCTAGTGGAACATATGGCTTCAACTGCACGTCTCCATTTGCTTCTGTTTCTGCTGTACTTTTCACCTGTATCCATGTTAGTCCATGCTCTTTCAACTCCTCTTCACACGATCTCCTCCATGTCACCATTGGACGTCCCACACGCCGCTTCCCTTCCGGGTCCCACTCGAGGGCTTGACGCGCGATCTCACCCAGCGGTCTCCTCAGCCGCGAGTGTCCGATCCATCTCCACTTTCTCCTGCATATTTGTTGGGCGATTGGTTCTTGCGTTGTTTGTTCTCATAGTTCCTTGTTAGTGATTCTTTACGGCCATCTGATCTTCAGTGTAGAGCGAAGACAGTTGTAAATAAAGGTCTGCAACCTTTTGGAGATATTCTTTGTGACCCACCCGCCTGACAAGTTTCTGTTCCGTATAGAAGAACTGACTGACATGACGTTTGTATTGAAAATCCGACCGAATTTTGTTGTTGATGCTGATTGAGGAAGATTTCCAGATTGGTTTCAAGTTGATGAATGTGTTTCTCGCCTTCCCGACTCTAGGTGGATTTGGCATCCTCGTCCGTTCCTTCTGTATTTGAGACAATGCTCCCTAGATAAGTGAGTAAATGAAGTAACCTCTTTCAAACCCCTGCCGTTGATGGTAATTGACACTGGATGTTGCTGTTGTTGTTGGTTGGTTATTTTCATCACCCCCGTCTTGTCTATGTTCACTTGAAGTCTTATCTTTGCTGCTTCTTTGACCAGTTTGTCGGTTTTCGTTTGTAAGTCTTCGATTTTGTGTGACATCAAACATAAATCATCCACGCGCGAAATCCAGGTCTTCTAAGTTCTTCGCGTCGGTCAAGGATATCCATGTTTTCTCATTTCCCACCGACTGTCTCTATTAGGCTTTTCTTGTCCTTTCTTCCTTTGCTTCGTGTGCTACATGGAGTGTGGCGACTTGAACTGGCGCAAATATGTGCAAAGTTCTATGTCGAATACAGCCAGAGAGAGGGAGACTGTCTGACGCATAATCCAGTCCATCACAATTAGGAATAATAAGCACCCTTGTCTGACCCCTGTGTTTACTCCAAAAGCCTGGCTGAGTTTACCGCTGTCGATGGAGACAGTTTACTGTCTGCATTAACTGAGGTACTAGACAGCGTCTGGGAATCAGAAGAAGTCCCATCGGGTTGGTGTAAGTCACTGATTATCCCCATATACAAGAAGGGGGACAAGTCTTCCTGTGATAATCACAGAGGGATTAGCTTGACTAATATAGTATCTAAAGTCTTAGGCTCAATAATCATGCGTAGACTAAGTGGTGCTCGGGAGGCACAAACACGAGAGAGCCAGACAGGCTTTTGACCAGGAAGAGGGTGTATTGATCATATCTTCACCCTCCGACAGATTCTAGAACATAGTCATTCCTACCGGCGTCCAACAGTCATTATATTTCTTGACCTAAAGGCAGCATTCCACTCTGGAGATGCTTGGCTGTAAAGGGAAGACTTGCTACCAGGGAATAATCTCGTTGACTTAGAATATGCAGATGACATAGTCCCGTTAGGGGAGGATGCTGACAAAATGCAGAGTCTTCTGAACACCTTGAGCAGCAATCTTCGTATGTTTGGCATGCGATTCGCCCCTGGAAAATGTAAGATGCTGCTACAGGACTGGACCCCGTCAATCCCTAACTTAGTGATAGGGAGTGAAGTGATAGAACATGTTGACCACTTCACCTACTTGGGAAGTTGTATTAGCACCAACGGACTGATTGGCGATGAAATCTCAGCACGGATCCGAAAAGCTCGAGCTGCTTTCGCTGACTTACACCATCTCTGGCGTAGGCGTGACATCCGGTTATCAACCAAGGGACGTGTGTACTGCTCATCAGTTCGCTCCGTCCTTCTCTATGGCTCTGAAACATGGCCAATACGCGTTGAAGACATGAAAAGGTTGACTGCTTTCGATCATAGATGTCTGCGATCTCTGTCTCACGTTAGGTGGTTTCACAAGATAAGTAATGTTGACGTTAGGCGTAGAGTGTTGGGCAAAGAGGGAAAATCAATCGACGAGGCTATAAAGTTACATAGACTAAGATGGCTAGGTCACGTGCTGCGCATGCCTAACCACCGCCTCCCCCGACGGGCATTGCTAGCTGATATAGGTTCAGGTTGGAAAAGAGCCAGTGGTGGCCAAACAAAAACATTGCATCAATCCATGAAATCCTTGACAGTTAAACTGAGTCAGGTAGGGAGATGCAGACTCCCGGGTTGGGGCCCTCGGGACTCTGGGAATCAATGGCTGGAGACAGTAGGTGACATGGCTCAAAATCGTTGTCAGTGGCGCAGATGTATTCAGTCTCTGTAATCTTTCATATTCCTTTCTACAATTACCCATTCTGTTTCACTCTTATATTTGTCAAACTCTATTGATTCTCTTCACTCATCTTCTTGTCTACCTTGTGTGCCAATTGGAACGTGGCAACTCGAACTGCTGCACTTCGGTGCCAAGTTCTATGTTGAATCCAGACAGACAGACTACTAGAGATATGACTGCAAATCTTTGTTACTGGCACAGATGCATTCACTCTATGTAATCCTGCGTATCTATTCAACTCATGTTCTTCCTTGTTACTATTTATTCTCCCTCACATTTACGCTCGTTAAACCTCCGTTTAGTTTTGTGTCTCTACCTTTGTGTACTACATGGAATGTGGTCATTTAAGCAGGTGGACTTCTTCGCAAACTCATACTGAAAGGCAGTCAGAATGACATGACATTCAATAATGATCTCCAAAATGTCAATAAATGATAAGTGTAATTCTTAATCTGGTTCTTTGCTAAATGAATAATAGATACTTTTCAGTAATCTCTTCTTCCACCCGGGACTCGTCTCCTACTTTGCAAGTGTCTCTTGTGCTAAGCTTTCGATCATTCAGCATTCGCCGTTGTTGTTGTTGTTGTTGACTCAGGATCTAGATGACATTTAGTTAAATGAGGTTTCGGTCGTGCAAACACGAGTCCTAGGCAGTTGACTGGTTGCCTTATCATTTTTCAAATAGAATGCAGCATACTGTATATTAGGGTAAATCTTCTGCTTTGCTTGCTGAAGCTGGTGTTCTTCAGGGTACTGTTATGTTGTCTCCTTTTCTTTTTTTCTCTCTCGTCTTACATGACTTCTCTTTCTGATGAGAGCAACTTCGTCAAATACACTGGTGATCTGACCGTCTCACTTCCTGTCATGTCACAACGTGTCACCAGGAGGACTTAATTTTTCAGTTTGTGCATATATATATATATATATATATATATATATATACTATTGTGCTCATCGAGTTGCATTGCGATTCCACATGTAGCAAAAGATTATGAATACCTTACTCTCTTCTCTTCTGCATAAGAAAGTTACTTCAAAAGATTTGTTATATTACGCTCAGTTAGGACAAATATAAATTTTTCCACTTCAGTGTTGTGAGTTAACTTGTGAACTGTGTAGGCCCCCTAAAGTAATGTATTTGACATGCATGCTTCATAGTGACATCAGGAGTGTGCATGTTATGTACTAAATCTTCTGCGCTTTCATTATGGATTTGATTTGATGTTCATCAAGTGGCCATTTAAGAACTGCTGAGTGTTGCATGCGATCAAGCTAAAATTTGTAACTGGTTGTTGTCGTTTCGTTGTTGTTGTCGTCGTCGTTTTCATTGGCAGCAGTTCACAGCCTATTGAGTTTACACAAGTACCATGCCCATTTCTCACTTTACTGAGTAGAAAGTAACTAGGATTCTGGCGTCCTTATTTTAGTCCACTTTCATCATTCATGTATTAACCAAATTGTCTGTCACTCACTCACTTTAGGGACTTACCAGGGAACAGTCTCGTCAACTTAGTGTATGATGTTGTCCACTTGGGCTGTGAGCAGGGACCATAGAAAAGACTACTGGTTTTCGGTCGTAGTGTTTGTCCCATTTCTTCTGTGTTATAAGCAGTCTAACATGGTGAGTAATATTGGCGTTAAGCTTATAGTGTTAAGTAGAAATGCGACTGAAAACACTGTTAATGACACAGATGCATTCACTCTGTGTAAACTCACATATCTAAGCAACCCTTATATTCTTTTTCCATATCACTGTTCGTTTTCCATCACATTTATGCTCACTAGGGTTCCATTTAATTTCGTTTTTCTTCTACTTTTGTCTGCTACATGGAATGTGATAACCTAAAGGGGGTTCACTTGTGTGCAAGCTTCTATGTTGAAAGTCAATCTGTCAGAATGATCTATAGTCCAGGTATAATGAAATGCTAAAACATGGATAAAAGTAAACGAAATGTCAACAAATGATAATCGTATTTTTTCATTTGCTGTTGTTTGTCTTCTTTTTTGTCTCACCATTTTAGCTTCCATATGACTTTTTGAATGAGAATGAAGAATGTGGATATTTGACCGCTCACAATGACAAATGATCTGCAACACATTATTGGTCCCATATATTACAATTGCCTCGTGAATTACGCATTACCTTCCCCCACGACGCAACCTGGATTACAGCTGTGGAATATACTCCTATACCAATGAAAAAGTATTAATTCATAATACAACCTCGCGATTGTAACTTATAACATAACTAATCCTAACTGTAAAAATACTTTTCATTTCTTGAAAACACTCATGTATAAGAAAATATGTACTATCATTCATGTTGTTCTACATTGAGTACAATTCACTCGTGATGTTACGATGAAAATTCTGACAAAACTATACAACTGTATCATTTATTTTAAATTATTACCAAATTTGGATATAAATCAAGAATAAGACTCGATGCCGTACACACTAAAGTTATATGTGGGGGAATGACTTCAAGCTTTATATCCTTTTCCCAAGCATTTGTAATCCATCCAAAACATACTTGGGTTTTCTTTTTTGTTAATGCGAAGACTACATTTCTACATATTTTGATGTGCTCCATTGAATGACTAGTTATCATATTGTTCACACAAACCAAGGACAATAACGACAGCAACCATGTAATTTAACCATAAACTTGTTTTATTTTTTTGATTTACAGCTTGATTCCACACCGTATTTTTGGTACAAGTATGGAATTTTCAGCGTTGATATCGGTAGCCCAAAATTCGCAGGCCGACCATAGATATCGGGTGTGCGTCGGCGTGGGCTCGAACCTTGGACCATGTGCATGGTAGGCGAGGATCCTAACCACTGTGCCACCGACGCACATTAAAATAATACTTATCCATGCCTGTACTGTACAATTGGTGTGTCCTACACAGGTAGGAAAAATATGTATTTTATTAAATCATAATTATTAAATACGCTTACTAATGGTATATGTAATTTATCATATTGATGATGCCTGTAAACTGGCGTCCCTCAAGGGCAAAATGACAATATATTATTATTATTATTATTATTTGGTTCTTGTCTAACTGAAAGAAACAGTTATCTTACAATAATTTCTCCTCTTACCCGAGATAACTTCACACTGTCTCTTTATATCTCATGAGTTAGTTAATTTTATCACGTAGTCCAAATGCGAAGTGGGAAACACATCTGATGAAATATGTTTTGCTTATCACCAACTAAATATAATATTTTTCAAGTGTGTGGAATGTAAATAATCGAACTACTGCACTTCTGTGATAAAACTCAGTTAGTCAGCACATGTCGCTGCAGCTGCCTAGTGTCACAAATTACTTTAGTGTTGATTGGCTTAAACAATGATATTAATGCCGTTTCCTAAGTGCGCTGTGCATTTCCCAATTCCCTAAATTGTCCAGATAAAGTGCCCCGAAGAAGAAAACAAACCGAAAGTCAGTAACACGGACATAAGAAATAGTGTGAATGAGATAAGTGATGTCTTATGCCTGTAGTACACCTAACTAAAATACTCATGTATATGAATGAAGCAAAAAGTTGTGCTCGAAACGTCATCAGATAATAATGCTGTACAATACTGTGTGATTTACCAAAATAAAATCGTGTCCATCATGAAGTTATACTCTACCACCATAGTGGTCAAGTTTTATACTTATGTCAAAAATACTTATGCGTTATGTATCTCCTCAATGTTTCATTTTTGTCTTCCTCATTGCAAGTTGTCAGTCTTCGTAGACATTTTGTTAGATGTCGTCACACATAGTGTCTACAAGCCGTCTTTCAATACATCCACCTCCCACAAAGTTGTTGGTATGAAACCTTGAGATTATTCACCTCGAGCTGTAGTACAATAAGTATGCGTACATTACTTATGGAATGACATGCAAGACTTGTACATGTTGTTGTGAAGTTTGCCTGTAATAACATTCCCTACATAGTAAATACAATGCTTGTGATAACAATTCGTCATTATCTTTTCATTGCGTTGATAGGTGTGTATAAATTAGAAAAAGCTAACCTCGAAAATACTTTCACTAAGTGCCTATACTTCTGCTTAGAACCAAGTGCTACTCGTGGTCCATGAAATACTTTTTACTGCATTCATAAATAACCATCAAACTAAAAGTTTTGAAGACCCTAAACAATTTGCATATGGACAGGGTAGGAGCACTTTAGACACTGCAGCTGTGTCTTACACAACAGTATTGTCTCCTCATTAGATAAAGGTGCCAAATACGTTCGCTGCATGTTTCTCGACTTCACTTCTGCTTTCGATTCTGTACTTAGATGTCTCTTGCTAAATAAGCTCTCGATGACACGAACGGAGTCCTGGGTCATTAACTGGTTGCATTCTTACTTCTCTAACAGAATGCAGTACACTGTATACAAAGGTAAATCCTCCTCTGCTGTGCTCACTGAAGCTGGTGTCCCCCAAGGTGCTGTACTCTCCCAACTCCTCTATTCTTTCTTTCTACATGACTTACCATCCTCAAATGACATTAATTTTGTCAAATATGCTGACGACCTGACTGTATCTTTGCCTGTCAAGTGTCAAAGTGACTGTTCCAAACTAAATGGCTTTTTGTAAGAAATCAGCGAGTGGTACAAGGAAAACGGTCTTACCTTAAACCCCTTCAAATGCCAAACAGTTAATTTCAACTTTAGGCATAGATCTGACCTAAACAAACTGGTTAACACTCACGCGAGGTATGCAACATAAATAGATGGCACTGAAATAGAGACCAAGTCGGAAATTATATACCTAGGCGTCATTCTATCTGCTGATCTTTCCTGATCGTCTCATATCTTGACGATTTCTAAGAAAATATTCAATCTTACCTTCTACATCAAGAAGTTGAGATATTTTGGAATAACCCAACCCTTACTCTGACGATTCGTTAACACTTGCATCCTGCCTATTATTCTCTATTGTTCCGCCTTAGGTTTTCCAGGGCAGGATACTGAAGGAAGACTATACCTTATTACGCAGGATGTTAAAGAATGTCAGCAGGGTAAGCAACGCGCCACTCAACCAGCTTGTTAATATTCTAGTCGACATGCACTTGGACTCGTGTGAAAAATGGGCTTAATCCATTCTATCTGTGTAATTCACACCACCCTCTTCATTCATTCACAACTCTCCTCTTGTATCTCATCAGGCAAAACCAGAAGCCTATATAGAAAACTATATGCTCTCACTAGTAAGTACAAAAACTCAACCATATCCTAATTAGCTCGTGTTCTGTGCGATAAAAAAAAGCATTAGGTGCGAAACTAATAAATTATATATTTGGTAGAACAATTGGATTTCGTCTTTCCAACTCATATCTTCTATAGGCACAAGGTTTTCTTTCTTTCTTTTCCTTTTCTCTCTCTTTTTCTGTTATGTGCAGCTTTGTTTCTTTCTTCTGCTTACGCCAGTGAATATGCTAGTATCTCCTTTTCAAACACCCCGTTCAATTTTGGCTTTGCTACCGACATGCCAATATGTTGTTGTCATAATGAACTGACATTACCCTTAATCTATGTAGAATTTTATTTATTGATAATGTACTAACTGTTTGTCTGTCTGTTTTCGACATAGAACTTTGCACATATGTGCGGCAGTTCAAGTCGCCACACTCCTCGTAGCAGCACAAACCAAGACAAGAAAGTACAAAAAAGGCATAATAGAGACAGTAAACAGAGGTGTGAGACAAAGGAATAGTAGTAACGAAGAACATAGTTTAATTGGAAATCATAAGTCACAAGGAGTGGATGCATCTGCTCCACTGAGAACAATTTTGAGCCATGTTACCAATTGTTTCCAACCATTGGTTTTTACCGTCCCGAGGACCCCAACCAGGAAGTCTACACCTTCCTACATGGCTTAGACTAACTATTATAGATTTCATTGACTGGTGCCATGTTT